GCGGGGGCGGGGCCGCGCGGCGGAGACAAATGTTCCGGATGCTTTATTGCTCCGCACGGGTGTTTACTGAAAGTCAGGCTGGGATCAGGTTTCCGCCGCCGCCGCGGAGGGGAGACAAGGAGCCTTGTGCTGCTGCTCTGGGCTTGGGGGTGGCGGCGAGGCGAAGAAATCGCACCAGATGGAAAGATTTTCACCAGAGTTTGTGAACCGGGAGGTTGATTTCGAAGTAACTTAAACTTCTTTAAACAGGGATTTCTTTGGTATTTGCGAGAGCTGCTTTTTCATTCAGTTTTCAGTCTCTGGAAAAAGCCGCGTTTGTGGCTAGCCGAGCGTTGCGGGGGCTGACAGTTCCCTGGAGTTCGGCGCTTCCCCCGCGGGAGCGGCAGTGGGGAACCTGTTCTTAACGGAGCAAGCCCGAAAATGAGCCCTCTTGCCTGTGATACTAGTTTTCTGTTTAAAATCCTCTCAACACAGTGTTAAATGTCAAATAAACTATCTCAATAAAGCTGGGGGGGCGGATATCTAGGATGCTCTTTACAAACAAGACCACTTCTAGGAGTTTGTCTAGACAAAGAATTTTTTAAGTCCCAAACTGAAAGATAAATTCTTTTAGTTTGAGAACAATTAGAGGGTTAGATAAATTTTTCTTCCAGATCCTTTTGCCCTGTGTTTATATGACAGCAGTCACAATGCTCTGATCTGGCGAATCCCGAACTTTAATGCCGTCCAAATGTGGGGAGTAATTTTTATTAAGTCATACCAGCCTGTGCTAAAAATCCTGGAGGTCTTTTAAGTAACGGGGAAAAAATGTGGCATTTGAGGAGAGGGCTTAATTTACTTTGTGTAACTTTGCATTGTGATGTAACAGCTGCATTTTAACACTATCACTTGGGAAAACAAACTTAAGGAGTGTAGTGGTAAGTTTTCGAATGATTAAGGTTTTCAATTAGTGACTTTAGAACCTTAAAAAGCAATGTCAGTCTGCTTATAGTTACATGGAAAATTTTTCATGACATGTCAAAAGATATATTCAGGGATATTTTGTGTGAAAAATGTGTTGTCCATGATGTCCAAGCGTAGGTTTCTTGAAATGGAAATTGAAGTGCTAGGTGGGACTGTGTCCCTCTTGACCACTTGGATATTGTTTCCCTTAGTTGCTATAAGGTTCCATGACAGGATTGGAATGTGGTCCTTGAAGATTTCTTTGCTGGCCCATGAAAGACCTAAGAAGTTGGTTTCAAGGTGTAGAAAATTAAGGTGACTTAGTTCAAGAACTTGGAATGTGGAACTCCTCTCTGTATCTTAATATGCCCTCACTAAAGTCACCGTCAAATTCTACCCAGAATTGCAGTGGTGAGTGATTTCTATGGACAGCTTGTCGGAGGGAGCAATTAATCTGGTTATAGAAAGGAGGGCTCCTTTTGAGAGATTTCTTTGAAGAGCAGTGCTATTGAAATGTAGGGGCTGTTTCTCAGAGCAGGGAGCCTAGCAAAGTGCTCTTTGCAGATGGGCTACCATATGTTTTATGCCTGGATCCATATAATTTGCCTCAGCACCCCATATGGCTCCTTCCTTATTTCACTTAATTCGGCCTCAGCATATCTTGTTTCTTTTATTATAAACTGGTGATTGTGCTGCGGATTCACACGTGCAGTCGTGGCATTGAGGAAACTGACTTAAAAAAAATGGTGAGGTCTTTATGTCTGAATCATTACGGAAAGCTCTACACCTGAAAATCCCTTAGCACTTTCATTAACTGGGATGCAAATACCATCACACTGATCACAGGTGATCTGACTGAAAAAAAAGATCTGTAACAGCAGATTTTGAATTCTACCTTTGAGACATGAAAAGAATACTTATATTTGCTTTTTTTCCTCTTAAGCAAACCGCTGCAGCTCCTGACTGGAGATCCAATATGGGAGTTACTTGCTTACTCATACACTTCATGGCCTTCTTGGCTACATCCTTGAGATTGTTTCTGCTCCGCATTGTCTTGGCATTTTGACAGGAGGCTTACTTTACTGCCTGCAACAGGCAAAGTGTGCATTGTCATTATAAATTTATGAAGCCTGGATATTTCTGGGTGTATGCTGCAAATTAGTCATTCTACAGGAGCCTCCGATGGGGCAGTAGCTGCTGACCCAAATGCACTTTCTCTCTAGTTAGCCTTCTCCCCTCCCATCATCTCTATTCCAAAAGGCTGTTAGAAACCTCTTCCAAACAAAAGACCTCAAGGAGTTCTGTTTTATGTGAGATTTCACGAAGGAATCAGCACCTACCTGCTATGAATAAGGAATGAGGAAGGAATGGGAAAAGGAGCTGGAATCTAAATCCCCGCTCCTCTTCCCTTCTGAACAGTTGCATCTGCATCTCCATGCTCTTCTTACTTTTGATATTTTATGACTATTTGAAATAATTATAAGTAAATGTATGCTCAGATAGATTTTATAGACCATAAAAAGAACAAATAGGCACTGCACATTTAGCGGAAAGTTCTTGTGCTGTCATTTATTTGTAGTCTGAGGGCTGTTCATTACTGAGTGATTTTGGCCCAGTTTTTATTTCCTTGCTTTCTGCTTGCTGTGAATCTGATTTATAAGAGGAAAAATTGATACAATAGTTACTTAAGTCCTTTTTTTTTTTTTTTTTTTTT